ACTATCCTAAAAGGAAAGGATCAGAAATTCAATCAGCTCTGAAAAATGTCTAGAAATGACAGCTGACTATCAGCCACGGTTACTCTATTTCACGGTAAAAATTTGTAAGTCCGGTATTGCTTGTATTACTCAAATGGAATGGGTTGTGTAACTGCCACCTGCACTTTTATCATGTTAAATTTCCCTTCGATAATCACACATATAATAAATGAGTCCCAACTTTTGGTTCTTTGCTACCGATGGAAACCGTGTCTTGTTTAGGGCAGGTGAAAACCACTCCTGGCCCAAAGACGATGCTGCTGTAAAGCAGGTAAGTACTGGCTGTGCACTTTGCTGGACGTGCCGTGATGATCCCATTTTCACTACTGGACTCCACGGCTGCCCTGCGAAGGGGACAGCGCATGGCGCACATCACCACCTGCTGCAGCTGTAGCGATGCTCTGCCCCATGTCCTCCGGAACCACTCCTGGGCTCATTCGTTGCTGTGGTAGACAGGTCAGGCATGCTGACTACCTGCTACCCCACTGCCCTGTGCCTCACGCTCCTTTGCCTGAAGGCTTCACATGGTGGGACAGTTCTGAGGGATGCTTCATAGGATTTCTGTGAAGAATCTTAGCAAGAAGGTGCCCCAGCAATAAGAGCTCACTATTATCTTTCACCGATGCCTCTCCTGTAACAGCCTACCGGCTTAGCAACTGTTTAGACTTAAACTGGGCCTCACTGTTTGGATTTATAAGCTGTCGTGCTTTGGTACAGTTGTGTACATCTTACTTATAGAGCCTCAACGTCCCTTTTTTGCACAGTACATCTTGTTATTACACTACTGCGTTTTTGCTGATTGCACTGCACAGTAAAGTACTACAGCCTTATGTCCTGTTATACGCTGCAGTACTGCATGTAAGAGTTACTCAAATAAAAGCAAAGCCACCAAGCCAGAGTTTCCTCTGAACATTTCTTTGCTCCGAGCACTGTAATGTACATACTGCACACAACTCCTCATTTAGTGACCAATTCATTTAACAGTCCAGTTACAGGAGCGGAACTCAGTCCTGTCATTAAATGAGGAAGGTGCGTACTGGCTTCTCTCCCTCTCTGCCGCAGTGTCCTCACTCCTTCACACCCCAGGGGTTAAGTAGATCATTTCCAGGTAAACTTCCTATGCCAAAGTTTTTGTCTCATGCTCATCTTTGGGGCAAACCTAAACTACTGTAAATACCTTTTTTTGTATCTTAAACTAACGTTAGGTTTGAACACATAATTTAAATGGGGTCTGTTAGTATGTTGCTGCTTTTAATTGTACCATTAATTGCACATTTAATTGCACATTAGACGCTGTTAGTATGCTGCTGCTTTTAGTTGTACCATTAGACACTATGCAAAGAAAATAACAACAACCAGCCCAGTCAGTGACTTAGGAAGTGGCTGGTGTGTAGCACTTCTGACAGTACAATTCCAAGGTTGTTGCCAGGTTTTTTGCTAGAAACCTCTTCAGACCATGTGACAATTCCATTACATCCCATGCACTGGAGAAAATACCTTAACAATATAAAATTTTAAATGAACCGGGGGGGGGGGGGCAGGGGTAGAACTTTCATGTCTCTAATTCTAAACTGTCAGATTGATACCATTAAGTTCACACTTCTGGTCTTCTTTATATACTCACTGCAATTATAGCTCCTACCCAATTTTAACTTCAGTCTTAGTGTAGTATCTGTTGGATGATATACCTAATAATGAACTGAGGAAAATCAATCATGAAAATGACTTAGAAAGTCTTAGCATGTCGTCCTGGTAACTTCACACGATGCGACACTGCCACAGAATGCTGCATGTGGCAAAACAAATAGCAGATCGCCAGGAGTGATGGATCCTTCACTATTTATCATGAACTGGGAGGGGAGGAGTCGGAATGACACAATGTCAATAGTTCTTCAGAGAATAATGTCACTGGTCACTGAGAATAATATTAATATCATGGCATCTAAAATTTTGTTTCTTTTCTAGTAAGTTCACTTGTTGTATTGGTCATTCTGCCAACACTAGTACAAAATACCTGACACCCACAACTTAAAGGAAGAAAGGTTTATTTCAGCTCATGGTTCTCAGAGGGTTCAGTCCATGGCTGGTTGGCTCCAAAGCCGCTGCAGCAGGGCAGAAGGGCATGGCATGGAAAGGTGCTGGGTCCATGGAGGACAGGAAGCAGAGACAGCAGGCAGGAGCAGGGCACAAGGGTACTCTTTCAGGTCCCACTCCCGGGAGCACAGCTGCTCACCTCCAGCACACTCGGTTGTTGATCTCATCAGTGAGTGAATCCAAAGATGACTACAGTGCCCCCATGATCAACCACCTTTCAGAAGCCACACCTCTGAGCAGATGAGACTCATGGGGGGGCGTTCAGGATATAAACCCAGCACTCTTCCCCCGGCCCCACAAAGGCTCGTGTCGATCTCGTGTGACATGCATTCGGTCTCTAGGAGTCACCTGTCCTAGCAGTTTCAGCAGTACTTTGGAAAAATTTAAATCCAAAGTCTCTGAAACTCAAGGCAAAATTTTAGCTATAAGTCTCTGTAAAAATAAAAAGAAGTTAAATAGGTCCAACAAAGAATGGCACAAGATAAACATTTGCATTCCAAAAGGGAGGAACAGGATGATAAAGGAGCCAGACTAAAGCAAGACGGAAACCCAGCGGAGCAAACAGTAAAGCCATATGTGGCCTCCGGGGCACACAGCCGTGAGATGCGAGTTCCAAAAGGTGTGAGCAGCCCTGGCCCTTTCACCTTGCTGGCTGCAGCCCCACGGCCTCCCTCTTGGGTTGGTTGTACTCATGGCCTGTAGCTCTCCCCAGCAGAGAGGATCCATGTGCCTGCAAGCTCCAACTTCCTGGCATTTCCACGGTACCTTCAGCTTTAATCTTACAGCTTTAGGCATCCCCCTCTAGCTGGTGCACTGCTTGGCTTCCCAGGCCTTATTTTGACATTGGGGTAAAAGCCTGCATGACCCCACTACTCCTGCATTCTTCACATCTGCAAGGTCAGCTTTACACGCCAAAGTCTGCAGGCAGCTCAAGCTGTAACCCGGCATTCTTGTCCAGCAGCATCAGCAGCCTCTGAGTGCCTTCAAGGCTGAACTCAGGGAAATACTTCCCTAGGTGCCCTGAATAAGCAGGGCCACCGGGGGCTCTCTTCTAGAGCAGTCTTTCAAAGGATTTTATCCTTTTACAGCCTGTGATGGGTGAGATCTTCCTTACTCCTTAAGATGCCCTCAAGACATCTTTCTTCTTGTCCTTGTACAGAGTACTGGCTCCTTCCTAGTAAACACTACTAATCTTTTCAACAGCCACATCCCTTCTGGCCCCATCTTCACATATAGCTCTTTATGAGCCCAAGTTGAAGTTTTTCAGTTATTTCTGCTCTTTCCTTTGCCCCTGATTCTCTCTGTAAATCTGGCCAAATGTAACCAGCAGTACTCAGGCCACAGCCTGAATGATTCAGCTGTCTTGAAATTTTCTCCACCAGATTAATCAACCTATCCCCTTTATTCTCAGTTGTGACAAAGTTTCAGGACATGGGTAAAATGAGGACACATTTTCTGGCAGAGAATAACACACATGGTCTCTAGTCCAATTGCCAAAGGAATCTTTGTTCCAAACTGAACGCTCAGGAGCTTGACCTTTACCACTCGCACGTCTATCAGCATTTTGGCTTTCTGAACTCCAACCGGAGTCACCCATCAGTCTCTGTGTATAGCCTTCTAGGGCTTCTCCACCTGGCATCTGAAAAGCTTTAAAGCAGTTCTAAAGGTTTCTAACCCATAAAGTCAGGTACAGTCACAGCAGTGATCACACTGTTGCGATCCTAATCTCCTGTATTAGTCACGCAGCTGGGACAAAATATCTGACAACCACAGCTTTAAGGAGGACAGTTTCATGTAGCCTCGTGGTCTTAGAGGACTCATTCCATGGCTGGTTGCTCCAAAGCAGACACAGCATGGCAGCAGGGCACTGCAGAGGACAGGCGCTTTCACCCCATGGCTGCCAAGGAGTAGAGGGAGAAGTGAAGAGCCAGGGACAAGAGTGCACCCTTTGGAGGCCACACCTCCAATGACCCACCTCCAGCCAGGCCCCGCCTCTAGACGGCACATTCAGCTATGGTACACACCAAGGGACAAACCACTGATGAGTGTGGTGCCCTGTGATCCAAGAACCTCCCCAAAGACTTCTGGGAGACATTCACAATCTAAGCCATAACGCTTGTCAAAGCGAAATGTAGGCATAATTTTTTTTGTCTCATCCAAAGCAGAACTGCCTTTCCTATTCATTCTAATGAAAGCTTTTGTGTAATCTACAGTGACAAATAAAATGCCTAGGTGAGAAACAATACACTCAAACTAGTTTAAGGAGTCTTCTTCCTTAAAACTTTAAGCAAAGACTTCCCAATCCTTAATTTCAGACCTCCATGTAGTATCTCCCTTCCATATACATCAGAGGAACATTAACGGGGTCTCTATCCCAAATAGCTAGTATCCAGAAAGAATCTATGTGAAAAGGATAAACGAGGATGATGAGGAATTTTGAAAATAACTATAATGTAATTGGATTTGAGATGTTAAAAGGAACAGGACGGCACTGTTAAGAGGTACAATGCCCTGGCATGGCCCGCCTTTCAGAGTAACGCTCCGTAGTTTTCAGTCCTGACGGAGCGTGCTCATACATACTGTCTCTGACGTCTTTCCAACACAGTTTGTTCTCTTCCTTATGCTGTCACTAATGTTTGATGTCTTTCTCCTTGTTCTATTATTCATTATAGGTTTTAGCATGCTATATTTTTCTTTTAAGAACAACTTCTAAAACAAAAAATATCATGAAGTCAGGTCAGGAAACATGTTAAAGATGTCCCAAAATTAGACTTGAAGAATGTCAAACACTTTTGGATTTTAACTCATAGGTGACTGTGATCAGGGCGCTTGGCAAGAACTTGAAAGAGTCCTTTACACAGACTCACCTGTCCTCTCTGGAATCTCACTGGCATGTTTGATTTGTGCAGCCGTCTAAGGCCCGAGTCTCCCCTCTCTCCATAGAGACAGAGAGAGACCTCCGCCTCTGTTTCTGCTTGTTTCAACTGCCCAGTGTAGACAAAGACATGGTATCTCACTACTGGTAAAGCAATGGGGAGAGAAAACAAGACGAAATCTATTACTTCACAGTTCATACAAGTAGTGCAGATCCGTGTGCTCTCAAGCTATATTTAAAAACACGATACTGTATGTTTCCTCAAATCTGGACTTTCTGCATATATTGAGAGACTTTTGACCCTTGGATTTTAACTATAAATGAGCATTTTTACATCATTAACATGCACTGGGGTTAATAGCTTTACCCAAAGGAGAAATAAAAGATTCTTTGAAAGGCTCTTCTTCTACATATGACATAGGACATTTTATACTTAGTATTTTAGAGAGGAGGGTGAAAATGTTATTGGATATAATGTTTAAAGTTCAAAATGATGCAAGTTCTGATGAGGAAATAAACTCAAGGTGAGTGATGGTATGAGGTGCCCAGTTAATCCCCCGAAGAGCCCGATGAGACAAGGCATGACATTTCTTATCTCTCACAGCCTCAGCCTCTGCGACAGTAGCTGGACCATAAGAACCATTTTGAGATATGTTTAATCCCAAGTCCACCGATGATTCATGCTGTGACAATGAAAAAGTCACTTCTCAGTGGGTAAAATAACTCTCTTAGAAGTAGGAAAAAGTATTCCGCAATAGTTCAGAAATAAATTCAAGCAGCTGCAAGGTTAAACATGACACATACATACACGTTACTGAATATTAATAATATACCTGGAAAGATGGGTTGTCCTTCTCTGATTACAGGAAGCTCACAAACAACATCTCCATCTGCTTGGATCGGAGACAAGCATGCGTTTGCTACAAAATCTAAGATCTTCTTGCTCTTTATATGCTGCATGGTTACCTGGGATTAGAAGAAACAGTGGTCAAGCTGCGTGATTTCCAACTTTTCACAGAAGTCGGAATTCAAAGTGCACGTCAGGCTCGGTAAAACATAACCTGTGTACTCCCGTGGTGGTGGAGGTGGTAGCTATTAGCAGTAATGGCATTCTAGTGGCTACTGTTTATTAGGCTGTTATTATTTGCCAAGTATTATTCTATGCGATTTATTTTAATCTCTTTTAATTATCACCAAGTAAACTGGTAAAATTCTTACATTTTAGGTAAGAAAACAGAAGCTTGAAAATATGAAATGCACTCGGTTGGATCTATCTCAGTTCTTCCTAAGGGAGTGCCCAAAAAGGTAATCCACAGGAAAACTCCAAAGAGAGTTTGTGTTCATGTTAGTCCAAAGCAAGCTATGCAGCAGAACCCGTTAAAGTTTTAATGCCTTTTCAATGTATTTATCTTTTTGTAGGCTGTGCTCCTCGCTGCCACAGCCAGAGTGCCCACATGTTCCAGCACACTCTCTATTCCTGCCTGCCCAGAGGATGCTCAAGGCACACCTCCTTTGGTGGCTGTTTCACCCAAACGCTGCCCCCATTACATTCTCCTTCACATCTGAGACCAGCAGAGGATGTTCCTTCCCGCCCGTCAACATGGGTGACTTGCCGCTCTCCTTTTAAGACATTAGTTAATATCGCAAATAAGGTCTTGACGCCCCCCATACTTTCCCCTGCGTCCTCTAGGAGCATGGGCTACCATGTTTCAGGTCACTGTTCTCAGACTTGCTGACCATAACCCTCCGTCTGCCTTTTCTGCTCTTTCTCAACCCTACCTTTAGGCTGTTTCAAGAGTTTAAATTAAAATCTGATCATTTTATACACTGCTCATGACTTTTTCAATAATCCTACCTATCATGTAAAATCCAAAGTTCTCAACACAACAAAGAGCTCATGACTGGGTCTAATCTTGCTAAATATTTCTTTTCTGTATCTAATTCTCTAGTCCTATTTATCTGTTTGGTTCATGAGCTAGAACTATGTCTTCTCCTAATGGGCTTTGTACATACTGTTACCTGCTTATCTCTTATTTGTACATACTCTTAGCTTTCTTCTCACTTACCGCATTGAGCATGCCTGGCATTCACTACATAGCTTAGACAGAACCTTTCTAACAAGTCTTTTGTGAGCCCCCACTCTGGTTAGGCACCTTACTTTGTGAACTACGGCAGGCTACCCCTTTCATGACTTAACACCTTCAACTGACTTTGAGAAAAGAGACCTTGTCCGACTCGCGCTGGTACTTCCTCACGCTTTCACAGGGCAGTCGTGGGATGAGTGCTAAACAGATGATTAAATGAGTAATGAAACCGGTATTTGTCAACACAGGTGATGAGACTAAATCAGAGATCTGATTATCCAAGCTTGATTTCATCTGTCTCTCACCAGGCAAGAGGCCGTGAAAACACTTTTTAAGAAATAATAACTATTTCACAAGGTTATAAAGAACAGATAACATTATATATAAGAAATGTGCAAAAGTTATATAAACTATATAAATTCTTAACACTAGCCAAATTTACACATAAATATAAAAGATGTTCATGAAATATATACTCCTAAATTTGGATATGCCTCCAACCCCCATGCACCATAGCATATTACACTTTACCTTCAAGGAAATTCAATAGAAAATTCAGTATACCTGGATAAAAAAACCGATCCTGAGGACATGTATTCTTTTCAGTCCCATTTAGATACAATACTCAAACACAACTGGTTTTGGCCCTCTGCCAAAGCACAAGAAACAATAGCTGCTCTACTGTTCCAGAGATTGGAGAGATGGCCAGAGCTGGGGACTGAAAGGAGAGTGATCAGCATCTGACAGCTGAAGCCTACTTTATGGCTATCTTTTTGCTAAGGCTTCAGCAGTGAGAGAGGACATTTAATCCTTTTTATTTTTCTTCCTAGAGCCAATGAGATCTATTACTTTGCTTTATTTGGGGCTGAAAGAGATGCTGCTGCCTAAGCTAGGAATATACTCCTCAAAAGTCTGAAAACAAAATTACAAATATATATATATATATATATAAAACCAAGAGTGCAGGAGGGGGGTTCCCAGCCCTCCTGCCTGGTGTGTGCGCATGACTCTGCCAGTGGGAACAACAAACCTCACCTTCATCGCAGGAAAATTCCCTCCAGGGATGCGCACAGCTCCATACTAGCATGGTTGGGAGTTTAACAGAGAAAAACTGTCTCTATCATCAAGAAAATTATATAGCTTATCTGTGAGGTATAGAACCAAAATAGTTAAATAATATGATATGACATTAAAGAAGAATATTAACAAACATGTATTAAATTCTATATAGGTTCTATACAGGTTTCAAATACTGCAGGATATAGTAAGAATTTCAGATGGAACCAGATGTTTTGTCATAAATGGTCAAGGTAACCTTTATAGATTCTAGAGTTGAAGTCTTCCCTATGAAATATAAAATTGTTATGTTTATTCTATGTAAAACTCCACTAGCTTCTTCCTTTATAGTATACTCTCTGTGAAAATTGTCAGTAAGTCTGATATCAGAGTCATCGTACTTTCAACTCAGAGGTACTCTTTGAGAGAGTCTTGCTGACTTTACATAAGCACAATCCCACTGGCTACCCTTGAAACCCTCTAGCGCAGGGGCTCGAAGTGAACTCCAATTACCTTCGAAGCCAGGCCGTCTCAAAACGGAGACAGAATCTAAGTTAATGTAGTCTTTTTAAAGGGAAAATGCAGGCATTCTCAGCCAGCTGAGATTTTTGCCCCCGGATGACATACGATAGTGTCTGTAATCATTTTTGGTGTCACAATTTGGTTACGAGGGGAAGAGAGGTACTGGGATGTGCTTGGCAGAGATCAGAGATGACCGTAAACATTCTCCAGTGCACAAGACAGCGTCCCACAGCAAGGAATCGTCCGACCCCAACTGTCAGTAGTGCCAAAGCTGGAAAACCCTTGGATACAGAGATAATGCCTTAGTAAATAGTTCCATAGTTAGAGTGATACAAGGAGAGAGAGAGATCTTATCTCAGTGTATGGCCTTAGGTAGAAGTTTCACAGATAACCTGTGACCTTCATGTGCTTGTACGAAATATCAGCATTGGAACCTGTTTCACCAGACTAAAGATTGCTTTATGTAAAAAAAATAAGATGGGAACACCTCATGGGAAATAGTTTGTAAGCTACAAATGACTAGACACATGGCATCACTTCCCAAAGCAGGGTTTTCTCGTAAAGTCGTTAACAGCCAGGAGTCCGGTAAGAGTGTCATCTCAGAAGCTCAGTCTCTCTCTTCTCCACCTCCTCTTCCTCCTCACCATACTCCTCTTCCTCTTTTATCTCCTCTTCCTCCTCTTCCTCCTCCTCCTCCTTCTTTCTGTCTCTCTCCCCGTCTCTCTCTCTCACATCCTGTCCCAACAACAAAGTTCTTCAATTTCTTTATTCTCCCGGATCCTTGGCTGTAAGATTCTTACACGCTTCTCTTAAAATGGTTCCCAGTCTGGTCATTTCTGTAACTCAGTCAAGAACACAGAAGAAAAGAGGGTCTGTTCCTGTCTAAACTTCAGATGCTGGCACTAACCCAGGTATTCTTCCTGGCTTTACCTCTCCTGTTAAGGTTCTCCAGTTAGCTCTTCCCCCAGTTGTCTTTTTTGCCTATCCTTGATGTCAAGCAAGACAAGCACTGAAGTAAGGATAGAATCGGGCAGGTTCTAAGGATCAGATGGGAAACAGGGCCATGCTGGGAGCCAGAAAATTCAGGGTCATGAGGACAGAGCGAACCAGCCACACTGGACTGGCTGCTCATCCTTCCTGCCCATGAGAATTGAGACTAAATACAATTATTAATAACCAACAACAGTTACCATCATCTATACTGTATTCTACTTTGCATATTTTATTTACACCTAAATTTCATATATTTTATTTAAACCTAAATTTAAAACACCCTTCACATATTTTATTTAAACCTAAATTTCATCTTGACTTCTGTTACAGGAGAAATGATATACGACCAAATCAAAGGAACGCTTTCTGAGGGCTGCGCAGCTACAGTTTTATGCTCAGTGCTGGATGTACTATGAAGAATGTCTTAGGACGAGAAAGGCTGAGAAAAACGTGTTTGAGAAATTCTGCTCTGAAGTGGCATATACCTTTTCCTCCATACAACAATGTAATGCATCTACTCTCCTTATACACTCACTATACACAGAGCTTTCTCTAAAAAATAAAGACAAACACGCACCAACAGATTTGCTGGACACTGAAAATGTTTCTAGCACTCTATGAGGTTGGGCCCTGGGGAGTGGAGCATGAGTATCTAGGTCAGTCTTTAGTAGCTTCTTTCTGGAGTCGGAAGTATGAAAATATAATACGATTTCGATGTGCTCTCATAGAACAAGTGTCCTTGCAAATCAGATGCAGAATCAACACCTGACTCTCAGCCCCCTTCCTTCTCCTCTTGGGCCTCGTGCTAACCCCTATTTGCTACAAGGACTGTGTGAAGGATCAGCTACGGTATTCACAACTGACAGAAGGACTACCAAAGGCAATCACTTATCCTTGGTTCAGATAAGCTGGCGCAGCTTTGAGGATGCTTCTATAAACTGCTGGAGTCTTCTGAGATTAAACATTTGACGAGAGATTCTGTGAGAAGAAGCTGGTGCTTCCTGCTGCTCAGTGGACTAGAAAATCCTCAAAAACAAACTATTTTTCTTCCCGCATTTCAGAAATTGCTCTTTCCCTTCAGTGCTCCTTTCTAGAACCCTGAAGGAAAAACTGAAAATGAAAAGGCACTGTAAACACTCAGGAGATGCCCTGAAACTTCAGACTAACTAAAGTCATCCCTTACCTACTTTAGCTAATCTCAGGCTGCCTGTAGCTCACATTACATAGGTTATAGTACCCTATAAAACAATAATAGTTTTAAAATATTAGCAAAGTCACCAAAGCCTGTGACCTATTATAATGTAAAGACTC